GCCATGCAGATGTGCTTTACAAAACAACTACCCATGTTAAAGGCTCATTAAAGCCGACTGTCTCTATGTTAAGTAATACTATATATTCGGATACATTTTGTGCATCAATTTTGCACTACAATATTCCCCTTCCTACAAGTTGAATGAAAAAATCTTGCAAAGTTAAACACCCCGTTATTATTATTAATTTTTTTTTGTGTTTTTTAATGCATCGAATTTATGCAGCTATTTAGAACGCAATCATTTGTTATTATCTACAGGATTGTTTTTACATTTGCTTTTTTAATGAAACTTATGCAGACTGAGCTTAATACGGCATATATATTTTTTTAAAATTCGCATCATTATGGAGAGTTGACTTGTAAATAAATGATCTGAGTAGGGAGCTTATACATTTTAAGGACTATTCATTTGAGACTTCAAGCTAATCAGTAGCTATCTTCTAATGTGGACAGGCACTCGGAGCGAAATTTTATTATTTCTTGCAAGATTGTCAAAAGAGTTCTTACTGGACTTATTGAAAGCTTCTTTAGCAAACCTAAATAAATGTTTCCTATAGGTGCCCTAATGCCAAGGTCTACGCATGTATTTAAAATTTTATTCTGGTTTATCGAAAATAGCTGCCATATCCACCTACATTGCATTAATGGGTTCTATCTGATCAATGCCTAATCTTTATTTTTGCTTGAGGAAAAATCTCAACTTAATGCTATCGCAATGAGTTATGTTGCTTGTGGCATGGCTTGGGTGAATTTTGAACATATGACGAACTAAAAGTGTAATTATATTCAGGTTGGCTAAACGTAACGCAGTAATAAACTGGAAGTAACTAAATTTAAAAAAATATTCGCGTTAATTTTTTTTATCACGAATACGACAAGTCGTATGTAACTGTATTCAATAGAGAAATATAACAAACAATAGGAGTTGTGTATTATTGTCAGGGATAAGTACAGACTAAAAATTTTTTTCCAACTTCTCCATTTCCTTAAACTGAAAACTTACTCCTTTTCTAGCTGAGAACTTTTACCGGTCAGCCTATCGTGCTGCTCATTCAAAACCTAATTTTTACCGCTCTGTTTGTCGTATATTCCCTCTACTTTGCCCGAGTATTTTCGTTCGGATTCTCGGTTCTAATCATACCACAGCATTGCCCTGGATAGGGTGACCAAGCAGCTTGACAAAACGGCATAAGCAACACCCTTATAAGCTATGCGAGCAGTTAATGGCACATTTAAGACAAATACTTTCCTAAAAGGTCCGTAGGGTCAGAACGTGCTGCAGCCGTATTATTTCTGTCGTTACCTAAAATAGCCAGTGGTAAATCCTAGTTTTGCATTCACCATGACAAGGCTGTATCTACCTGTCAACTTGATGTGTCTGACCTGATTTATCAAGCACTGTGTCTCTATATTAAACTACCATCGGCAATTAGTGCACACCACCCAGTCCACAGCTTGCTAAGATGTAGACGGAGAGAACTGTGTAGACGACGAGTGCAGCTCATTAGCATGATGGTTCACCTCCGCTACCTCCGCTAGAAAGAGCACAATTAATTATTGATGTTAAGTTGTTAGAATTAGTTTGTCGACTAGAAATATGGCGTCTTCTAGTTCACTGAGCTTCTATGATTCTCAATTTCTAAAGCATTTTTTTAAATTACTTTGTATTTTCGCAGGGAGAGAAGAGACAGGGCTTTTATAGTTAGCCCTTTTAACATTTTGTACGTTGTCTAGAGAGAATCACAACGTTACCTTTTTTTTTTTTTAGTTATAAGAAAGCGTATCAAGCGGATACTGTAGACCGGCGCTGCGGTACGATTTCATTGCATCCATTAAACAACTAAAGAGAAATTTACTTGTTAAGTATCGCGCTCCTACCACATCTGTTTAACTTTTCAATGTTTAACGCTGCAACAAAAATAGCAAGCAAATGAGCGCCTTTCTGAAAAAGTAATATAATTAGTACATAAATATTTCTCTATATGCATATAAGTGTATACAAGAATCCAAGCGTGCGAGCAATGCTATCAAGTATTATAGGCCCCAATAGTCTAGCGAAGAACTTGTAGCCGCTGAATCTGTACATGTTGGTAACTAAAGTGCCTTGCATCGTACTAGACCTTTGGACTTAAGGCTCTGCACAGATCTATGACCATTCTCCTCTACTACGCCTTTTTTGGTACTTTTGGCTATTCCAGCCTACTAATCGTTGCCAGCTGTGCCAATATCCTATTTTCGATGTTAAACTTGTTACCTACAGTAAACATTTGTCTTGCAAAGCCTTAACTATAGGCAACCTATTTTAATTCACCATATAATTTTGCATAGAAGCATGCAGTTCTATGCTTTTTGTTTTCGACTCTTTCCATTGGTCAATGAATTGCGTTATTTTTTAGCAACAAAAATACATGGCAAATATATCTAAATAAGTAGAATCAGCGAGAGACGGCTTTTTATAGGATTTCAGACATTTTATAGGGTTGCCCCTTTTCACCACTTTTCAATAACTTTATCAGTCAGATGACCACAAACCGCTACGTAATTTTATTGCGAAAGATTATTCAAGACCGCTTTTGACAGTTTTTGACTCCTTGCAATTTTATTAAACGGTACTCGGTCGTATTTACTATGCTATAAAGCGATGCACAGCAAAACAATGCTGGTCGTGGCTTAATCTCTTCTCTTAAATAGCCTTGCTTCAAGGCCACCTGTAACCAAATTTAGACACAGTTAAAGTGCTTTTGATCTCTAACCTCTGTTTCATTTATTGATCCGATTACTTTATTTTGTTTTCATACTTACTCCGCATTCTTTGAGATTAAATTATCATTAACACCGGTCACTGAAAGAATCTTGGCCGTTGAACTGAAATTAAGGTCTTCAATCGGATTAATTTTGCTCTATCTATTATTACTCAAGTAATATGCCTTAAGTGGAAGTTTCCCGTTCCTGGATGGATTTCTATATAACGTTTATTACGCGCGAGCAAGTGCTTTACTGGGTCTATAAGCTATATGTTGAAGGCAAAATATTGGAATTATTGGAATTAGTTTTCTACTACATTAGCATTTAGACGTTTTGTCCATATCAAATTTTCCGTTTCTCACTAAACTGATTAATAAGTTTATTAACCTTCTCCACTTTTCGTTCCTGTTCAATTTGGCAGCACAGTGGCTTTCGTAGATCAAAACGGGTAGGCATCTTTTAAGTCACTTCAACGTGTTCGCCCATTGTTAAACAAATTTAATCTGGCTTAAACCTGATGACTTTAAGCTTTTTTTTCAAGATTTTTTAAAAAGGTTTTTCTATTCCGTGTTATAGAAGGTATTTGATCGCAGTAACAAACTAATAAATCGAGGAAACGGAAACATCGTGCCTTCCAAAACAGTCGATATCTGTCCTAAAGTTTTAAGGTTACAAAGAAGCATCTTCTAAAAAAGTTCCATTAGAAGATGATAAATATGTCCGCTACAAGAACCAATGTTTTTTGACGTTATAATGTGAAGCATAATACCCAGTGCTAAAATCGATTGTTGTCACGGTTTGATAGCTATGTAAACTCAACTTGCTTCACACATCAGTGGGGTCTTTTTCTCGTTTTAAAAAAATACAGTAAAGTAACATCTGATGTTAAAAAGCAAAGCATTTAAAAGCCGCAAGTCCAACTTACAGCGGTATTGACTTTTTAAGTATCATGCCTTCAGCGATGTAAAAAGGTGTGAATGTATGTTAAGAAGTAAATCAAATGTACTCATGTACTGAAGTATATGACAGATTATTATTTGCACATACACAATTTATCTTCGCGGGTCTTTGAAAATGGACAAAAGGGAAATGATTTGCACGGTTAGGTATTTTTTGTCTCTTTCTTAATAATACAGTAAAGTCTTGAATGGTTTTCAAAGCAGAGAGATGTATATATGCATATAGCGAATCAAGGAAATCAAATTACCTTCTCAATGGTAATTTCACGCATTTATAGACTTAAAGTAATGATGATATGAAAAACTCCATACCGTATAGAGAACCAGTCTGCTCACGATACTGTAAAAAAAGCAGGAAGGTTGAGTACGAGGTATATAAGTCAGATATTCAACGTATCGACAAAACATCTTCCACTTTCTGAGAACAATAACGATATGGGACGGGCGGACACGGTTTGCTTAGGCCGACGAGTGGAGTTACCGCTACTGACACTAATGGCAGCGGTGGTATTGCTGAACATTGGATTGTCGTTTAAAGAAGCTGAATACAAGATCTTGGCACACTAATAAGTTGAAATACAGAAGCGAAAAGATAGCGACCAATAAAACGCGATTGGACACGCTATTACAGACATACGACGGGCACGGTAGTTGCACGGTGGCACGATGCGACCAATGAAATCTTTAGAATGTATGAATAATGCCAGTCACCCTATCATATAATAACGTAACGAAATTACTAGTTTCTACTATATCCTGCCCTTTGCAATCTTAATTTTTAATTTAATGAATCATGTAAGACGGTTCAATAACAATATCTCAGAAGGAGAAACAGCAAACCAAAGACCTCGCAACAAAATTCTTGAACATAGTGTTACCTTAGGGGGCGGCATGGAACTGGGTCGTGTTGTTACCGGCGCTTCAGAGAGACCTAACATCCCTATAAGAGACCTAACAGGATAAGTATAAGAGAGTAAGCGCTGAATGGTTGTTCTATGGTATTTCATTGCTGTTGAATCCATCTATGGAATTGTCAATATTCCACCCGAGATCTCGGTGAACGGCAATTCATGTATAAGGCTGTTTTATGGTTTTAGTTTAATTTTAGTCCACTCGCGTAGTAATCCAAAAATGTGTTTGTGAAACGTGTAGCTGAGTACCTAAGCTATTGACGATTGATTGACTATCGATGTTGTATGTATGAATCTACCCTCTTTTACTTAGTTTTATTCCTACGGTCACCACCTACAAAGAACTACGTTGTTATTGCAAGGAAAACTCAATGATATAAAACAAAATGTTTAAAAACATTTATTTAGCACATTCAGCTCGTTCATTATCTAGAACCCCGGCTTTTTAATTACAATTTGTACTGTCACTTGACGGATCCTAGAGTAACTGAACAGGGTCAAAGAGTCGTTCCACAACCTGCGGATAGCCCGCAATTCACCATGTAACAATCATACTGATAATTAATAGATGATTCTAGAAACGGTGGAATTTAGGCCGTCCTATTGATTAAAATTTATTCAGTTTTTTGATAAACAAGACAAGATTAGGTATCCACAACAACTAGGCAAATTTACAGACGAATAAGATTCAATAATTACAATTCCCCTACGGTGCTGTCGCGGATATAGTCTATAGAGTAGACAAGTATAGAAATGACGTTATCACTGTATAAAGGCCTTTGTCATAAGCTTCTTTAATTAAATCGCTGTACTGTATAAAAAGCTCTGTACCCCTTGACACACAATTCCGTTCTTCGTCATCATGTCTGACGTGATGCCGCCTACCGTAATCGTACTTCTGGCTATATTATGGCTGTATCGCTTGCATATTTATCTATGTACAGTTATTCTGAGGCCTCCAGGGCCTATAATTGTTATAAATTCCTCGGCGCACTCAGATGTTTGTTTATTCGTATATGTGTATATGCATATTTCCTACACATTTTAGACAACAAAAATGTATTACTACTAGCTATTATATTAAATGATAAAATCGCTTGGATTAAATAGAAGGAAATTTAGAAACTCAAGTCTCATATACAATGGTTTTCATTAGTTAAACAAATATATACCTATGTTGTACACATACGTGATGCGACTTATACTTGTTTGGTCGAAAATTTGCTGCTATTTTTGTCTTCAATAATATTCATTTTTATCATCATAATACCATATTGCAGTAAAGCTCTGCGATCGGAACTCTGCTATTACTACGAATATTAACTTCTTTCGTCGTGTACGTTGTGCTTGACAATCGTTGTTGCTGTTATTCAAACAATGACGTGCTTCGTCTTACCAGAAATCTGAAAGCGATTTGTTACCTTCGACTTCTTCTCTGAAACTTCAAAATCGGTAAGACCGCGAGGAATTTTTGCTTGTGTCCAGCACGCGGCGGCTTGAGATTCATTCACCTTACTATTACCGTTATTTCAGTACAATATTATCGTAATACAATTACACCATTCATTCAATAATCACCGGCTTACACTCACATTTTGCAATCGTACGCTTAATTAAATATAAATACCTACTTTTCGGTTAAATAAAGATCATCCAAACAGACAAACAGCAAAAACTGAAGTACAGCCTATTTCACAATATTCCCGAGATTGAAAGGCATTATCGTCACAATAGAATTTTATTATTATTACTATTATTAATACTTAGTTAACATTTTCATTTTCAGTCTTCTTTTTCTACCATTTCTAAAAATCATGATTATCTTTAGCATGATGACTTAAGCTATAAAAGAATAATTATAACAAATGTATGTTAAACAAAACTGAATTTTGCTAACATTGCATCTTGGCACTTGAGTAAGGCTTAATAATCATAATTACTATTATCAGAAGTATCACCACAGTGATAATCAGGATGTTGACTACGCTCTGTACGGTTGTTGAAATGCTATGATGACACGATGCGCGTACTGTAACGGTGCTACGAAAAGCATTCGTGATGTACGTTCCGTTTCCGCACTCAGCTTGCAGTCCGCTCAGTTTCATGAGGAATTAGACTAATTTAAATTATAACTACAAATATAGATCACCTCTTTTCGACACCCTCCTTATTCTCGACATTCGTTTATCCTGCTAATGCATGATTACAGCCCGTATTGGTAGTGCTGACTTTATACTGCTATAAAATGACGGTAAAGGATACAATTAAAAATATAAGCTAATGATTACATTGTCTGATAATACAGAACTGAAAACCATTGTATAAAATGGTTAATAATGAATTAGTCTTCATTTGTGTAAGTTCTTGGTTTTTATCTTCCGCCACATACGTTCCTCTATTTAAAGATACGTTTGTTCTTCTACAAATGTTTGTCAACTAAGCCTGCAAAGCACGAGCACACCCAGTGCCATATCTAGCGAAATTAAAGGAACTTCAAAGAAGCTCTTTGAACTCACATACTTCTTCGACAGTTCACACTTGAAAACTACATTTACAGACATTTAATTGACGTTGTTGTACTACACGAGCTGTAACGTCGTTGGCACACATATAATCCTGTCATTAACTTTTTCTAATGCATACACTCTTCTAATAACGACAATAATAATAATCGTTACCATAGTCCCCACAGTCATCATTATAATTCTAGTAACAAATTGATGACCGTAAATGATTCGCATTTATAAAAACGCTCATGTTGCCTCAACGCCGTTGAAGTTTGCCTACAAGGACACAGATTTCAAAATAGTACAAAAGGATTGTGCATGACAAAAACTATTACTTGGGTCTCATTTCCGTGGAACGAGACACAGCCATTCACATAGGCAATTTATACAGACAGAACAATTCATTTTACCGATCAGAAAGTTTGCTTTTCTTCTATAAGGCGCTTGGGTCCGTGTTATAGAGATAGGTTGAGTACAAGTACGATTTGACGCTCAAGATATAACACCAACTGTTACACACTCGTTGAAATTCACCGAAAATCATTGCTGCATTTTGGGTAGCCCTCGATCATAATTTAAACATTCAGTTGCTTACAAACAGACGCACTCGAAGATTCATTTTCTAAGGAAGCATAACATTTGTCAGTCAATTCCATAAGTCTAAATCATGAAGAAAGGTGGTAGCTTTAGGTCAGTGTCGAAGTCCATAAGTGGGTCGCTAGTGGTACCATCTAATGACGATGGCGAACATGACGGTGAGGGCTAGAAAAACAACAAACACGTCATAAGGTAATCAAAGGAATTCATGTTTTTTTCGTTTAAAAAAATTAATGATATCCCGCTATCGTATGCGGTAGCATATCGAACTCTATAATCTTCCAAACACACACTATAATACAACAGCATCCAAACATACAAAGGAACTCTACATAAATTTGCTCTAACTAGGTGAGTACGATATGTATATATCGCCACGTGTGGCCAGTGGAGACATGGTGATGTATATAAATTTATAAACAATACATTTGGAAGTTCGAAAGCAAATGAAATAGTACGCAACTAGTTTTGACTTAGGGACCCCCAAAAAAAATTGTACAGTGCTGTCATCACAACTATTATTACCTACTAAGAGCTTCATTTTAGGCACGACATTCTCGCGGTATTACTTACGAGCAAGCTCTCTGAAAATAAACCAAGCTATGTCTGCCCAAAATTAAAGTGTAAACATAATATATAATAGGAATGAATACATCTAAGTGCATTGTTGCTGGGCATAAAATTCTCTAGATTACATGTGCATCGACCGCATGTCACTGCCCAAACGACAACAGTAACCTTCAATGATAAAAGCGAGTTTCCATACACAGCGCCTCGGACGGACTTCGAATCCGACTAAGCGCGCACGTATTCTGCAAGGTCTTTGCTTTTCCTCTTAGCCCCCCCGCCTGCAGATGTTGACATAAAGCCTTCAGTAAAAAAAAGAGTTTATGACAGCTTGCTACGTGTACTCGCATGATTTGTACCGGTTGTTACACGTTAAGCCTGAAGATATGTGGGCAGTTAATAGAATAATTATTCCGGTTGTTTGTAATTGTCTTCTATTTGCCTGATATAAATTTAATTTTTCGATAAAAACGACCCACTTGCTTTACCAATGTCCGGTATGAGAATTTGCCCTGGATACTTTTCTGCATGTTTCTTACTCATGTTAATCTGATACCGAGCGACCTCATGAGAAAAAAGTGATTTTCCGGCATTTCAAAAAAAAACTATGCAAATAGTGTTGGTTTTTTTTTTTTAAATACCATAGTTCTATTCGTCATCCAACGATGTCTGACTTTTACTGTTGTCGGTTACGTCGTACTTAAACTTCTCTGATTTTTTGCTATAGGACGTCATCTATCGGTATTGATAAGCAATCAATGCAGAGGTACTAACTTTTACACAAAAGTCGTTTAAAAGCATCAGCAAAACATCAAATTATGTTTGAATCTTATTGTACAAAAGCTTTTCTGTAGGCACATAATAAAGTAAGGTCCTTAAATCTCGACGAGATTTGAGAGGTCTTCGCGCTTTCAAAAAACACCAACGATGATTTACTCTGCTAGTTTTGCATGCAGTAATGTATGATTGAAAAATCAAAAGACAAAAACAAGACGCCAATCCAAACACAATCCAAATTAAAAGTTAGGTGAGCAGCAGCGTAGAAAACTCACGAAACGACACGAGAAGCAACTAAATACAAAACTCGGACGCAATCGATTTGGTGTTACTACCGTTTCGTTGTACACTTCAAAAGTTTCCCAAGCTTGGTAAATAATATAATACGAATGTACAATTTGTTTTTACATAAGTTATATTATCTGTAATAAAGAGTTTAGCTCGGTTGTCTTTTTCGTAGTCTTCTCTACGGTAGACATTTGGCAACATCTACAAATACAAAAGAGCTCATAATCATCTACAGAGCTGTACAGTTTTTAGCCTATTTTAAGAACTTCTGTATAGACCTAATTATATGGAAAATAAAAAAAACACGGACGTCATTACGAAAAAGGGACATTCTAATGGTCTCCAGGAACTGCCATGTGAAGACACACAAATTATTAAATAAAGTAGACATCGATAGCCGCCAAATATATGCAGGTTATCATGCACGTGTCGCATGTACCGCAATAACCCATTACAACAACGCCAACTGACTTAAAAGCGTGTCACACACGCTTACCTTAATGTCCTCTGGACTTGAGGCCGTTGTTGTCGCATCTGGTCCGAGAATGTTGTAGGAAAGATCAGTTTCTTCGTATCCAGTAGCCGTCATTCGTTGGTCACCTGGATGAGTGACGCTTTCATCTGGTGAGTTTAAACAAGTTTGGATAAGCTGTTTCCCCGACTCCGATGTTATCATGGGTTGCAATTTACGAGTTGCAAACGTGTAAACGTGGCCCGTTTCGGAGGCAACCAGAAGCATTACTTGAGTACCAGTTAAAGTGGAGAGCTCATATGCCTGCAAAGAAACGAAGGTGAGCATTATTTATTAACCAGATATAATGGTACTATACTTTGGTATCTACTATTTCGCCGAAGAGATTGAAGAAACCGAATACGAGCTAGTTATTTGAAAGCGTTTCACAGTGACGTCAACTGTTACTGCTCACAGTTATAACCGTAAACACAACATGCGATAATTTGATTACTTAATGAAATCTTAAACTACCAATAATAATTCGTATCGTAAATACAACGCAATCTCGCATCTGCAGTGCAGAAGACATAAATAATAACATTCGCCACAAGCCAAAAACAGACAAAAAACCAACAAGGTGATAGAGATCCTTTCTGCAATCCATGGTTATAATATCCTATCGCGTCTAAACGTTCCAAGTTGTTAATAGATGGATGACTATAGTCTATATTTTTTAGTAATAATCTTAAATATGCAACATTGTTAATCACAGTTAAACTATGCAAACCCCTTACGGCTACACAAACTCTACTGCGCAGTCCGTTCACTAGTATGATACTCTTTCTTAAGGCATATTTATGCAAGACTAGATATCTTCTCCCATAGTAAATAATAAAGAACTAGTTTTCACAAGAGCGATACTGAATTATCAGGTTCAGACTAGTAATAATAATGAAAAAATCGAGAAGGCAATTTCTATAAACCACTAGGACCTTCCAGGCATCGCCCACAGCTGAAAAGAAGCAAGTGCGTGCCCGGCATCTTACGAAGTTTCTGAATGCTACGTTGACCCTGAGTTAGCGAAAATAGTAATGTAAAAAGCGAAAATAGTAATGTAAAAAGATAAAGCGTAAGACACTTCTATAAAGCGATGTAGAGGATCTATGGAGGTGCGAAAGAACAGGTACGAAGAATAAGTGACGGAAATCCGAGCTCGACTTGTGTCGCTCAATAAGAGCCCCCAAACTGCACGAAATTCGTACCACGGAGGCCAATTTCTATCTAGCACTAATCGCAGAGCCTTATAATACGATACAAAACCATAAATCCTTAGATTACCTACAAACAACAGTACAACTGCACTTAGTACATCCGCAAGGACTGAGACGCAACGAAAACTTTTGATGTGGAAAGCATAAACCACTGAACTGAAACCCATGGTTGACACAGTTGAATCATAAAGTACAGCCACAGTTTTACACTAAAAATAGGTACCGATTCCGTAATGAGTCACTGGGTAGGCATATTCCACTATTTCAACCAACCTTTTTCATGATCCCAGTCTTCCTCTTTGAGAAAGTGGTGTATCGCCGAAGTTTATTGTTAATAAATTCCATTTTTATTTTAACGCGTCCTTTAGTTTTCTTCACGTTAGGAGGTGCTGAAGGCGTTGATGAAGGGGAGTTTAGGCTATGAGTAGGTGCGCATGTCCGTTTCGTTACTACCACTGATGATGTTGTGGGAAGTTGGCTATCGGTTGCAATGGCTGACCCTGGAGGATTTGATGGAACTCGCTGATCCTGCGGGGTGGATGGCTGCATTGGGGTCAGCTCAGGTTCATCCGACAACGGAAGTGAAGCCCGTTTCATTAGAAGCATGTTTGGATCCGCGGTGGCAGTGAGACCTTGATCAAAGTTAAGTCCAAGGGATTTTAGCTCGTCCATATTATACGACTGCACAGAGCTGAGAAAATTAGCCAAAGTATCTTGATCCGCATTTGTAATCATGGTAAAACAAAACTTGATATCCACAACTCGCACCTGCAGCGTCCAAAAGCTTTCACTGGCTCTGCACTAGTACACTCACTATATAGTTATTGCAGTCGCCGACGACAGAATACTGTATTCGGCTTGGATGTCGAATACTGATTCCGTTTGTCGTTGGTTGAATATCTGTGTAAATAGGACTGGCGAAAAGTCAATGTTTAGCCTTCCTGGTATTTCAAAGCAATATACTATGTACTGCTTTCACCAAACATTTGCCAAACACAATGAAAATCTCGCTGTGTAATTTTTTTATAAATCGTCTATAAAAATTTCAAATCAACTGAAATATTCAGTAGCTTGTACACCGATCTTATTCACCCATGCGCCCTGACGACTGATCACGGCTGTATTTGTTCATCCGTATATAAGAAGCAGTAGTTACATAGGCCCTCTCCACCTCTCCGCATCGACTTTGCAGCACCAGGCTTCATTCTGCCGCTGCTTTAGCGGGATTCGAAATCATGAGGCCAACTGGTAAGTCGCCAAAGCATAGCGCGAAAATCTCATTCAAATGATAATGCAATTTAAAAATGCCCATAGACTTAGCCGTCGAATACAACTGTCTGACGCAATTTATACAAGCTGCAATAGTCTAATATAGTCAAAAAATATGTCTGAGTAAAGCTATTAAATATTCAAATGTTCTATCAGCATGTTTTTACATATCGTCACTTTTTATTTGGTTGAATCTAGAAACAGGCAGCATTGTATATAAAATCTGTATAATTGTTAGGCCATGCCTGACTTATTTATTGAATGCTAAGTGAGGACTAAGTACTACATTTTTAAACGTGTTACCAACGTAATCTTTTCGTTGACAGGTCTAATGCTGGTTGTGGCAATCGAATTTTGTTGTTATTATAAAGCGCCATTTGGCCGCTGATCACACCGTCATAATATTCGAACATTTCATGTAGTAAGTGTTTGCGCTGCTCCTCGGAGAACAAAAAAGCGCATTGTTATGCACATAGAGCGTAATTTGACAGCCGTGTTTCGATGCATCATATCAGGGCATGCAGTTATCAACTATTTACAAGATACCCATCAGTATTGATTGAAATACGTTCCCAGATTAACATGGCCGGTCACATGATATAGCGCACATTTCGCGCATCAAGAACCACCTCATTCAAGATATCTTTTAAGGTAAGGCTTTTTGCACTTGAACTCTACTTTTGGTAGTTTCTTTTTTTAAACCGCAAACAATAAGTATCGGGGATATAGAGGTGACTTGTCAAATCATTAAAATTTCATTTTTAGGTTAAGCGAGAAAACAGTTAGCATAATTCCTCTATTCGTGAATTTAACATGGGTGGATGGAAGGAGGAAACTCTCGACCGTCGTTTGGGGTAACTCGATTAAATTTATAGAGATTCGTTTTTTCGCTCTTCAGACGTTGCCGTGAGTTGTTTGGTATAAAAAGTTCGGTCATTGAATTCGCTGCTGATCTCCTTCGTAGGTTCGAAAACGCCTACTCTTTTCGGCTTTAATGAAGTTAGTTACCTCATAAGGGATGCGAGAACTAAATCTGGACTTTTCAAAAGAAGGTTCAAAAGTATATACTTTATTAAAAGTCGATGAATATGTAATTTTTCGTTTGAGGCATTTTTAATAGAATATCTTATTCGATTAAACTTCCGCTTGGGTTAATGGTTTGTTTTGTGCAATAGTATTTTTTAATGATACCCTTAACGAATTTGCAAAGGATTTGTCGGTGAGTGATCATATGATGAAGAATCGATAACATGACACGACGTATATATGTCTAGATTAATTAGTCTTATAGAAGCGCTTAAAAACTATCTGTCCCACATAAAAGCATTAAACGTTAGCTTTGGATGTTAACGGGTCCAGAATATGTACAAGTGTACACAGGAGGCCGTAAAACCCGAAAAGTATAAAATGGGCCAACAGTTGAAGTATATCACTTTTCCATTAGCCCGTTTACTTCTACATAAGGATAACAGAATCACCAAAGATGAGTTTTACATCTTTTTGATGAACTTCGTAGGCCTCCTAGACCATCTTATGAATATTATGTATCGCGACAGTACATGGTACCGTTTTCGGATTTTTTTTTGACTGAAAGCGTGTAAACTACCGGTTTTGTGTAACCAAGGATGTTTTTAATGTAACGTTCGTTTTCTAAAAACAGTTTTGAGTCATGCTTAGAGCGCAAACGTTTTTGATTCAGCAGTGATAAGTTAGTTTTCCTGATGGTTTAGTAATAACGGTTTTGCCTGTTAAACTTGCTGTATCTAAATTTGAAACAAAGCATAGGTGGACACACGGTTTATTTCACGACAGAAGCGATGATAGCTATTTAGATTCACCTTTAACGGAAGTCTAGACATAAAATTCGGGACATTATTAGATCATGAGCTTTCAGTTTTAGGCAAGCGAAAAAAGTAGATTTTCCATACTACCCACCCTTTAGTAGTTGCCGGATTTTTACAATGCGTGTTTCAGTTTTCAAATTGTGTGAAATTAGTTATCATACCCTATACATTAGTCGATGTATAATACACTGCATGGCTCCTATGTTTTCATACATTTCGACTACAACTTGGCAAAGAGTTTGGTAGGGAACGCCGGAATCATAATTATAATAAACAAAAAGAGTAATAATAATAACCACAAGGTTTTGGATTTGATCTCTAGTGCTTTTTACTCAAATCCCAGATCATAACTCGCTGCATAGATTGGCCTTATTAACATCAACAGGATTATATTCCTTGCAAGACGTTCGAATCTGATCTCCAGCAGCATTCCAGAAGCATTATTGCTGATCACATGGGCTCAGACGTCGAATAGTTTTAGCTGCCGGTAACCACGTAAGTCAACTAGTAGCTTTTCCACAGGAAGGCAGCAGTTGAGCCTTATTAATCTTTTAATTCTCATAGTAATCGGGAGGCAATTCCGGTAGAGTATAATGTAAAAAACAACGCTATTCGCCTATTTTACATGAATAACGGTATCCGAGAAACAGATTTCAGCTTCAACAAATGCCTCTCACTATCTAAAATATCTATCCATCTCACTATCTAAAATTTGCAGAGTAATAATGCATAATATATTCTCGAAAATTGCTTATACTCTATTTTTCAGCCATGTTCCTTTTTATCATATACATCATTTAATTTCAAATTACAGGTTGTACGAAAATCTTATCTATATCTGTCTATATACTCATAGTTAGCTACAAATATGTAGATAGATAGGTTACTGATAATAAGCTAGTTACAAACTAAATCAAGATGCGAGATCTAGCACCCATAGCAGCAATACTTGCGACCAGCATTTTATCACTTGCAGGCTATTTGTGAATGATCAGGTGGTTTTTCCTTTTAAGTTCGTTGGACCGCAAGTGTTATAGATACAGCATTCTTAGTTTGTGCATCAAGCCTTGAGAAAGTAAAATATTTCGATGATTAGTTGTTGAAAGCAGAGAGTGAAACATGAATAATAAACAATAAGAATTACGTCGTGAGTAACTTTTAATAATAGATGTGTGCGTGCAATAGACAGACAATTTAGATATTGCCGCAGGTACGCATGGAGCACCAAACAACAACCGAGCAGTTTTCAAAGTAAGGGTTTGGCAATGTATGCCGGATAGGGAAGAAGTATCTTATTTTTAGCAAGTTCAATTAGTACTATTGGCCTGTCCAATCGAATTAGCGCGTCACCAACCTCTCATCACATTAAACCTGAGCGTAATAAATCAGGATAGCAGAAAACAGGATAACAAGACTATATGTACATAGAGTATACCTTATTAAAGCAGATGAAACATTAACAAACATTAGGTCGGTTAACGCAGTCATCGGAAGCCTTTGAATTAGTCTAATTAGTAATAAAAATAATAATTTTATTGAAAAATCTGCAGCTACAAGGCCAACTTTCACGTGGCTGTCAAAACCGAAAACCTGACGATTGCAAATTTTCGGTTTTACCTTTTAGGGACCATTGTTATAGAGATATAAAAACCATTGTTCTAGGAATATACACCCTGTTTTCATATAGTGAAAGTCGCCTTTCTTCAGACTTGCTCTGGGCATCTGAGCAATGATTTGACGTTTACCTTTGCGTTATTCACAGGTAGCGCGATGAAACAAGGAATTCTAGGCGCTACGCCGCCTAAACAAGCTTCTATGCTTTACACGTCAGTATGGATATTTGTAAATCTAGCCGTTTCTATCGCGATCGTGCTTCTGAATAAATGGGTGTACGTGTACGTGGGCTTCCCCAACATAACCATGTCGTGCACGCATTTTATTATTACAAGCCTCGGACTAGCAGTATGTCGTCACTTTGGTATCTTCAATCCCGTTCGAATTCCTTTTCAAACAGTTGTTCCTCTCGCAGTTACGTTTTGTGGGTTCGTAGCCTTGACAAATTTATCATTGCAGAACAACGCGGTCGGAACGTTCCAGTTGCTCAAAACACTTACAATGCCGACAATTATGGTGAGTCGTTTTTAACCTAAACTTTTTTTGTTTGCCTTGGTATGGCTAGTTCGAAAGCAAGCGCTTGTAAAAAACAAGAAAATTATACCATAGAAGCATTCATAGCAAACAAGCTGATGGAGGAGCCGGTTAACAAAAAGCATTTTCGGATTTTCAGTTCAGGCATACAGTGCGATCCCCCGAATACGCGACTTTGTCTATTGCATATTCTAAGATTTACAAAACGCTTCTAATGAATTTGATTTTTACTATTACAATTATGCATGTGACTTAATTTGCGATGCCACTTCTATATTAAAACAGACATTCATGGTAATATACTTTTCCTCACATAGTAGTATATGATATTCGTATTCAGGAATCTCAAAAGTCTTGGTTATTTTGGCGAAAATGATGCGTCGTGCTTACATTCGATGCGCTACATATTGGAAAAATACATAAATGTTCAGTTGACTTTGAAAGTCTGTAGTTATTAAGGCAGCGGAAGAGCCGATCTGTAATGAACGTCGATTACCAAATCAATTGTTTTAGTCGATATGGAAAGAGGATTTCATCAAGTGCCTTTTTCATTTTAACTAAGCATTAATTTATTATAGATAATCTTCCTATAGACTGCAGAAATCCTCAGCAGTGATAATGTGATAATTGTCACGAATGCCTGGTGTCAAGACATAATTTTTAAAAGCTTAGATTTTAGACCCAAGTGTTTGAGAATAAAATATTTGCGACACCGACTGCTACTCAACTTCCTCCGTACATTGCAGTCGATACCAAAGCTAACGCTTTTTGAGATGATTCGCTTCCTATATCTTTTGTTAAGGAGATACATAACAATCCTAAACATCTTGTTCACGATCAAATTAGTTCTTCACTTTCCTAGAAAATGCCTTGTTTACAAATGAGGTATATAAGAATAACAAGCAACGGGCCTTTCCCTAAGATGAATACTCACAATTACAGCTAGACCCGATATCTCGTCTTTCCAGATTTCAAGCAGATTTACCGGAACGATAATCCTATGGATGCCTATCAATCTATGTACCTAATGGCCATTGTGTGCATAGATTTTTAGTATCTAGGGTTAAAACATCATTACGCACAAAAACTTCCCCAATAGGTTAACATATCAGTGAGAGTTCGCTATATAAAAGTAAATTCGCAATGCGAGTGGCGTAGATGCACGTCTAAAGAGCTCTTTCGCATTTTTGTTTATTCGCTTATTGTTCGCTAAAGATGATACAAACGTAATAATTCAATGGAGGCCTTGGATCAATTATTTTAGGAGAACCTGTCTTCTTACTCTGAACTAAAAAAGTGATTCATTGACTTGTTAACTAAATTTCTTATAGGTCATTCAGACATGGTGTTACGCATACCGATTTTCTCGCACTGTTGTCCTCTCACTCGTCCCCATCGTGTTTGGAGTATATTTGAACTGCCAGTTTGATTTGTCGTTCAACGCACTGGGTTCCATGTTTGCGCTTTCTGCTGTCGTAATTACTTCTATGTACCAGGTGTTTGTTGGTGAAAAGCAAAAAGAGCTTCAGGTTAGTTAACCTAACCACAGACAATTTTGGTCAAGCCTAGTATATCCATATTTTTTTAAATATTGGGTTACGACCACACTCGATGGCTTGGTTTTAATTGGTTGTAATTAGCACAATTTTCTGTATAATTCATATTAATCAAATATGCGTATAAAAAGCTTTAAAAATCAAAAGCAAGGTTTGACATACAATGGAGCTCCCAAAAAGGATGATGAACTTTCTAGAAAAAGGAAGGCCAGATTAATGATACTTTGTTTACTGTTTCGTTCCATTTTGAGCATTTATGTGCATTAATTTTTTCAGTTCAATTTTATATTCCTCAGATAGGTCTATTTTCTAGCTTAGCTCTCGCTAGAATTGGCCTATTGGTTAGTTCTTAACTAAGTAAACCTAATTTCGAGCTGCTCGGAGTTCTATATTTTCTTCTAAAAAATTAAAAAAAAAAAATGACGGCTGGTCAATAAACAAAATGGTCATTTAGGAAGACTTGAGCCAAAAAAAACATATCTGATGAAGAAGACAATACCAGTGGTGTAGAAAAGAGGTACACCCGTGTTACAACGTGTAGCAACAAATTAATGTATCTTCACATATCCTAATGACTATCATCTTTTGATTTGAAAGAGAATACTTTCCTCCAAAATTTGTGAGGTCAAACGACTAACCCGTCAAGCGTAGGTTTCGATACCTAAAGCAAATGGTCAGACGCATTTATGAAGTCCCGGTTGTAAATCGAAATGCTCGTTATACATGTTATTGTGATTTAGTAGCAATTAAAACAACTTCCAGGCTGGCAAAATCGGTTCCTAAAGACGCTTCTTCGGTATACTGCAATGGGGAAAGCTCCCAGAAGAGTGCGCTATTTTGCGTCACTTTCCTACCACCAGATGTATATATAATAGTATTTCAGAGATTATATGTCGTTGTCTCAAAAATGTAGCTAGATAAATGGGACCATTTAAATAAAACAATATTAGCCATTGAAATTGAAAGTTGGCACAGAATTTTGCGCCTTGATATTATTCTAATTCAATAGTTGTCTTATATATAGGGTATCTCCGAATTTGAGGCTAATCGTTTAAAGAAAGATAGAGCTCACCGAACAAGGAATTCAGCTATGTAGAATTATGCAGCACAGATGGGTTTTTATTAAAACAAGTTGAAGTTTTTGAAAAAGCTGATATGGCAAGTAATAATTTTAAAAATACTTGATATGAGAAGTACATCAATTAAAAAAGTAAGGGAATATTTTTTTAATGGAGTATATAGTATGAATTTACAAATAAATAGATATACGACTGCGACTATATAAACGCGGAATGAGTGGGTGTGAAGCATTATATTTAATATATATATATATATATATATCTAATATAGTCTAATATATATATATATATATGACTGAAGCATATAAAAACATATTACTTTTATCGATACCGTTTCTTCGGCAAACACCACACATAAAAGCATAGAAAGCACAAAGAATGGTCTTTAAAACCACTAAAAAAGACTGGCTGTTAGCACCAAAGATACCGTGTGCCTAATGTGACAAACAGCCCAACAATGTTTGCCATAGCGCGCATCTGCTCATTTTGATGTTAAAAGCCTGTTCTTTTTCAGTCAAGACTTTTATCTTATAATGGCGAAAAATAATGCGTGGTTTTCATGATTCAAATGAAGATTCACCGTGATGCAATTTTGTTGCTCGGACCGAACTTCCATTGAGAGTATATGTCCCTTTTTTATACGAAATCTGCAGTCTATCTTATTGTCAGGTATGCAGCTTCGGAAAAGTCTGAGGAAGATTTTCAAAGATTAGTTAATAACATGATCGCATCACTGAACATGGAATACACCTTTCATAAAAATCTTCTTAAGCTGTTTTTCGTATGCTTCTGATTTCGATTTTTGTATGGACTCTTAGGATACTCTTTTATCGTCTTTTCCTGTCAGTACCACTCTCCACCCACTAGTTCAGTACAGGACGATTAGTCCGTGGTCAGTCTTCCCGGTACCACCAATAAATTATAACTCCACTACATTTCTGATTTTTGTTCTGTATGCATTAGTGCATTCAACGCGATCTTACCGTCATGATTCGTATAAGAAGCCTTCCCAAACACACCAAACAGAACTTCCTACTGTATCACGTATATATTTGTCCGTTTGCTCTGTTAAACAGGTCAGTTCAATGCAATTGTTGTGGTACCAGGCTCCAATGTCAGTGGTACTGCTCTTGATCGCGGCTCTTGTATTTGAATCACCTCTGCAATGGCTAGCACACTCTTGGTCTTTCAACGACTTATTCATGGTTCTTCTAACAGGTGATACATAGAGAAATATGTCTCATATTTTTTCACATTTCTTTTGGTAAAGCTAATTCTTTTGATATTTTACGTCGGCGAAAAGTTAACGGCACAGAGTAAAAATTAATTAGGTTTAACTAAAGCTCTACGCTTAACTAAAAATGCTTCCTGCTGTACTGCTTCTTTCACTCGATTCATTCCATAGGCTTGGTGGCATTTGTAGTAAATTTGACATCGTACTGGATTATTGGCAATACGTCTCCTATGGCCTACAACGTTTTGGGTCAACTAAAGCTTTCTCTTACTTTGCTTGGAGGCTACCTCCTTTTCGATGACCCGCTCAAGCCTGTTCAACTTGTTGGGGTTATAATGACAGTCGTGGGATGCATGCTGTACACACATAACAAGGTTAGTAAGACTATCGATTTTCTAGTAAAAAAGCACAAAACAGATGTGCAATGTCTATACTTCGAATCCCCTGAATTAATTATGAGTGGTGTCTTCAAGGGATTGCTTTATAACGCAAAAAAACTTAGAAATATTACTTGAAAAATAGAGAAGACCTAACTTAACAAAAACTGAATTATAGTCGAAAAGGGTTTGATAATTGTTTAATAATAATTGGGTTAGATAATCGTTTCTACTAGCATGCCCTAACTAAGTGGGCATGCTAGTAGAAACGTTTGGACAAGTATAATTATTTCCAGAAGCACCGTTTTGATGTGGTGTTTGCACTTATGAACCACATTAGCATACAATAATATAGTCTGAATATCATACGATCAGTGTTTTTGTATGGTTGCATTTTGCAGTTCTATCCAAACACATAACGAATTTAATAGATACGGGCGCCATTACAGGTATTTCTTTCACATGTACCACATATTGACACATTGACAACTTAAATGATACCTTTACACAGCGCATAGCTTACGGATAGTATTGTTAAAAAAAAATAGTGATAAATCTCGTGTCAAAGCCCATTCATCCTTGAACATGCCAGAAAAGTACACAAATCTATTTTATCTATTAAAGCCACGCTAATATACACGTCTTGTGTCAATAAGATGCAAAACTTTTACTATAAATGTATATTTTTGCTTAAATAGGAAAAAAATGTCAATGTTCATAGGCATGAATTACTATATGACTGACCTTTTTTTGTATAGTACTGCCTATACTCTAAGAATTATGACTATAGCAATGCATGCAAGTTTGTTAAGCCTTTATGATGAGTATCGGGAGACATCTATTCAGTTGGCAGGGCAAAAGCGGCCTAATTCCAATTAGTACTTCTTTAATACGCTGATTTCAATCCTCATGATAAAGTGCTGTGTCACCAGCATCATCGAAGACAATAGCTCCATTTGTGTTCTACATTTTATGCTCCACAAATTGAAATTGAAGTATTCATTACTGGGGTTTTGAAATGTATGTATAAATATATAGCACATATAATACCATTTGGGATAATAGAAGAGTAAGAAGTAGTCGTTTCTTTGTCTATGATGTTTTTGCATTCAGCTCTAGCCGACAAATCCCACTCTGTCATGTTTTAAATTTTAGCACATGTATGAAACGAACGGTTTCTGATGCAAACCAGATAATGGCTTAAGATGTCCTTTCTAAACTAAACACTTCTATTCGGCTATGCGTGTGCAAAACTGACAGAGGAAATAAATTGCACCTGAAGTCAACTTTGCAGCCGTCGAACTGCCATTTATCTCCTACAGAAGGATGAACCACGTACATATATAAGAGAAGATTATGTGTCTTTTCTTTTTACTTCCCATACATTGTTTGTACGAAAAAGTTAGCCGAAAATCGTTCCACAGAATAAGATATTTACCGGAAGTGGCTGCACATTTTGTAAAAAATAACCAATTATTGCATAATTGTATTGATACAACTATTTTGTGCAGAAAATGAGAATACGTCGTGAATGAGTCGCACGGTTTCGACATCAAAGTGACATCGCGCGTAGGAACTATAATTTTGTTCTGCCCATAGTTTTGCCAAACGTGGTCAGGCCATAACGCAGAGTAAGCCAAAAAATTTTGTCAAATATAATGAGAGGGGTTTTTGGGGGGTTGTTTAACCAAATATCAGAAAAGTTTTGTGCAAACAGATAAATACCCGGGGAGTTTGTACTAAATGAGTCATATCTTTGCTAACAGAATAGCGCAAGCATAGTATGCTAAACGGCGCAGACAAAGATTTTACTATAGTAAATTGTGGCTATTTTTTAGAAGTAGCATACGTTTTGACTATAGGAGAAAACGCCAAGGAGTTATGTAGGCTCTTTTTGAATAAGAGGTTCGGAAGTGAAACTGAAACACTGTCAAACTGACCGCTCTGCGACTTTTTCTGCGAAGTCGGAGGAAATTATTACTGGGGCTCGGAAGATGCCGTACAGTGAAAAAAATAAGGCAGTAAGATTCACTCAGAAGAACTGGCGTAGTTGCAATAATAATTTGCTAATACGTACAAAATTTGGATTAAATTTCCCAAAAAATATCCGGATTACACGCAATAATTAATGTATAAGGTTTACATTTTGCCAATGACCTGGGAAGAGTGAGGTGTTCGTTGTTGTTTTAAGTTAATTTGATTTGCTTTTAGGTGAAGTTAGGTTATTTTCCTAATAATAAACAACCAACATTACAGCAGTACGCAGTTTAGATAGCTTCCCAAACGCATAAATTTATGTTATGGAGTAATTCATAATTATCTTCGTTTTTATTCATTAGACGGATGGTACGCATTTAACCAGACATACCTTTTCGAAAACTTTAATACATACATAAGATATTTCAAATAGTAATTTTGAACTTATGACATAATAGATAGCGATGGTGTAGCAATAGAAACGACACAAAAGTTTCTATTATGATGTACTAATGTCACATATGTGCTATGTTTGCTTTCATTTTTTAGGTGTGCGAACAAAGACGACGATTAACTGATAAGCAAGATCACGTTGTCTTCAGTGCCAAGAAACCATAGGGACTCAGACGAGTGTCGTGTAGTGTCGTCTATTTATATAGCAATGAGTCATCTGTAAATACTGCATATGCAAGAAACCTGGGTTATTTTTATTTTTTTTTTTATATAAGCGCAATAATTTTGCTTCAGTGATAGTCAGTATTGAGTGCGTATTTGGAATTAAATTAATTAGACTCTGTGAGATAGCCGTAAAGCTGATTACAGCACTTCGTGTTTTTTTTTATTGCTGTATTTGAGCCTGCCTCAATTCACAGATATCAAAAGAACCCATTTCGTTAGAAATTGAGATTAGGTTATTAGAAATTCGTTTTCAATATGCCAGCTGTCGGACCGCGACCGATCTTTCTACTGCACATAAAAAACATTTCTAGGCAAACTGGGACTATTTTATTAAGTGTATATGAATAATTGTTTGCGTCCAACTTTCGCTAACGGACGGAGCTGTCAGAAACTATAATGCGTTTTTTTGTACAAATTTTCATGGTTATGTACCTTAAAAAATCTAAAATTGCAGAAAAAAATTAAAAAATATAGACAAAACATTTGCGAACTCACTTATGTATCTTGCGTGTATAATTTGTGCTCTGAACTTTTAAGTTAGAGCTTAGAACCTAAGCACCTGAGAGAAGTTAGAGCTTAGAACCTAAGCACCTGAGAGAGAGTAGCAATCCGTTTAAGAAATCCTTAATGTAATTGATAATTAGTAGTTGAATTCATATTTGCGCATTACTTTGTCACATCAAAATCACAACATTAACAGTAAATACATGTAAGCTTCGATGAAAGGGTTATAGGAACAACATGGTCTATAAGAATAAAGCCCATTTTACAACACGACATTTTATGGATTTATGCAAAGGTTTCTTGAATCCAACGTAATATGTTAAATATAATATTTCGGTTAATAATCAAGTTCCTCCACAGCTTGGATTCTAAGGTAAACGTTTCGGGTACTATGACAAGTAATGAGGCTGAGCATTTACGCCTCCATGAACGCTGTAAATTATAAAGCTAAACATATGTCTTGTTGTTTGAATATCTTTTAAACCTTTTATTTTTGCCTCTAGCAGATACCTACTCGTCATGTAACTTGGGCAATAATAATATTAATAATTATATTGCTTTACTTAACTGTAAATCTACGTTTTGAAATACTACGACCCATGAGGGTCTGAGAAAAACGTACCACCAATATTTTTAATATGAAAAATATTTCTTATATATCTAGAGATCAAAACCTGTTCTGCTGTATCATTTTATTTCTTTTTTACAGAAGATCATGCTTACGTCTAGTATGCTCTATCTGAATGTGCACAAAAAGAATAACTGCGCTCTGCGAGTAAGGTACCACAATATGCTGTTCGGTACGATCTGTGATACAATGTTGTAAATAGAACGTTTCGCGACTAGTAGTACAAAAATAAATTTCAGCTCATTTTCTCTGTTGTTTTAACATTTTTAATAATTATTTAACAGAAAGCAAACAAAATGTTATGCTATCTGGTGCGAAACTCAAGAAGATATTGCCTCAATAAAAATGTCGCGACAACAATGGTAAGTGCGCATGTATTTGTAAAGGGTGGTACTTTTCAGGTTAGACTACTCAACATAGACACACTTCGTTTCAAGCTGAGAACCAGTCGTCGGATGGAATGCTTAACGGCGATACCGGACATAAAAATCGAAACGGAGATGTTAGGATATCAAACCATATCGAGAGATTATTTGTATTAATATTACAAACACAGAACTAATACCAGCTTAGCTCATTCTTATTGTAAGTAAAATAAAAAAAATAATGCTTAGTTATATGGGGAAAACGCCACCACCGCCACTTTCGAAACTTCTGATTATGTTACCATTTGAGCGCGTTACTTTTTACATACAATTCAGTTCGTTTTAAGTATTTAAAGATATGTGAAAGTACGCATAATGTTCGTTGCTGTCTATTTTCTCTACAACAGAAGCCGTCAATCGAACTACATTAATTTCTTTAAACAGCTGATGTTATCAATTGTACTAAAATAGCGGGATCAATTAAGCAAGTACGTAGTTTTAGAGATATTTTTGAAGCTTGGTCATGGTCCTTTTTTTCTTAAATACTACCAAAAAAAAAGGTAAATCCTAGGGAAAATTCAAAAACTGCACATGTTTGTATAGACTATGTACTAGTGCAAAAATCGGTAAAGGTTTCTATTGAAAAATCTGAAATTTAAAAAAAGATCTTCAGATCTTGGACTAAGTTGGTACAGTGCCAAAAAATGCCAACAATGGCTTCATTCATATATATCGTGGTTCTTATTCGTTAATGGAAGACGCCTCGTTGATCTACTTAGTATTTACGGAAAATAAATTCCTATCATAAGGCCCTAAGTAAATAGCTGCTCTCCAAGGTTCGAACCTGCGAAGACGTTGACCTATTCAGTAGGATCGCTATTGGGGAAACAATAAAACAGCTGTGGCAATAGTGAACTATACCTAGCCGTTGTTCTCGAGTTAGTTCCTCATGGTAAAGTTGAGTACGCAAAAACCTAACCGATGCGAAAAAAGTGACGTGTTGCTACAGCTAGTTCGAAAAAGTCATAGAGAATAGGCCATGGCGTGGCATTCAAAAAGAGAAGAGTATTCCTCGAGAAATGAAAAAATTACTAATTTATTTGCAGGCTGCGCTTTCTTTTTTATACGATTACGTCAATTACAAATTATCAAAGGCGTCTAGGTTTCTCATTCTGAACAAAATTTTAACCTTAAAGGTTGATTTAATTAGAAATTATTTGTATGATATAACCACAAATTAAAAAAGCAGAACAATTTATTTCAGACCTTATATTCTTCTTTTATCTAGATCTTTAATCATCTGCTCGTTCTCATTTCACATAGTAATGCATGGTGAAGTTTTTTTCGAGCTTTAATGTTCTAGGCCAACGCTCAGTTGTTAGGTGGCTTCTACAGTGATATTAAGCAATACATATTTTACCACCATTTACCGTCACTTTTGATACAGTAATATTTCTTAAATTAAACTGAAATCAATTACATACATTACAACATTACATAATTTTTGCAGATAGGTGGGGGTGTAATAACTTTGATGAAGCTAATATTAGCTAGCCGGTAGTCTAATGCTAGGCATCACGAGTAGGTATAAACTATTTGCATAGCTGGTTTCTAGGAAGACTTTAGCGTTGAACTCCGCTGAGATCTTAAAGGGCCTTTTATCACAATAGTAACTGCTATAGCGTCATACTGACCGCTAAGCTCCCTGCTTCCAAGGGAGCCATAAGATTTCGGTAACTTTCTGCATCCCTCCTTTGAGTCATCATATTTATTAGATAGTAAAATCACTACTAAAAACCGGAGACATAGGTCTCCGGTTTTTAATGGTGATTAGTGCAAGAAAGTCAGTGACTTAAGATTTCGGTAACTTTCTGCATCCCTCCTTTGAGTCATCATATTTATTAGATAGTAAAATCACTACTAAAAACCGGAGACATAGGTCTCCGGTTTTTAATGGTGATTAGTGCAAGAAAGTCAGTGACTTGACCAATGGCGACACCAATTACACATTTATTTTATAAACAGCCCAAATACTTCCATTCGTATATTCTCGGAAAAAATCTTTATCTCTCATTAAAGAAACTGGGTTTTAGGCTGTACTCAAATTCGTTATTCTTTATGTTGACACATGTTCAATGTGAACTTATTTCATGAAATATACAAAGCGTCTTTTCCAATATGCATCTCTGTTAGAGCTCAAGTTCAAATTAAAAAGTCGCCGTTCCGACAAAGGGTTATGAACTGACTTTGTAATGTATAATGTTGGCCAACAGCAAATGAAAAGGTTGGAAACAAAACCCAATTCAAGAAAATTGTTAGAACTTAATTTGAAACCTAAGAGAAGCATTTTATACCACATCTGAAATCACAGTCCTACGAGAAAACGTTGTATTATTGAAGTCATGTTTAGATGTGAAAAAGAAACTGATATAAAATGTTTATGAGAAGGCAAAAAGTAATGATACATTGGCAATCAATCAGATAGTATGTTGATCAACGATCACTGCACAATCAATCAGTTAATGCTGCCTTTCTGCCTTAAGTTGAAATGTAAACCGTAGGTCAAAGCGGCTTCTTGGGCGCATGACGACGTCGTCCGTTTATTCTATAGCATTAACAAACGGATGTTTTGTTTGCATTGCACTTTTTAGATCCTTAACTTCGGCGAACAGGAGGGTAACTAAGCGACGCGTGTTCGCTGCTTGAATTTAAATTGTTAAATAGTTTCACCATATGATCGAATTCCCTGATTTAATTGATACCAAAATCTGTAAAGTTCGCAGCAAAACTCCAACTTCGTTGAATTTTCAAATAGTTGCATCCTATGGTGGAGTGCCTAGTGCAGCATTGAAATCTGGAAAGATAGCAAAAAGAATTCAGTCACGTGGTTCTCTCAATATCCTTAGCAGAGTTTCACATTTATTATATCGAATTTTCTTTTTAACTTTAAGAATTATACTCAAGTAGGCCAGAATTTCCCCTATAACATATTACTGATGTCAAGACGATCTAAACTCACCCGAAATTAACGCCAAGCGACTTTGGTGACTCCTGTACCAGGTAAGATTTAAGCAGTTCCATGGACACCGCTATATAAAAACGAAATGTCGAGTGAATAAATTGCATTTATAACGGCATCAGTGTCGCAGCGAGACGAGAGGAACTCCATCCATAATATCATGCGTCGCCGTCTATGCTCAAAATATTTCATCTATCATTAGTTTTTAGAGACTGCTTTCGCTCTAATTCAACCGTTACACCCCTAGTTCGAAAAAAAACAATGCTAGTAGCTTTGTTTTTTTCCAACCGAAGACGAGAAATGTACTGCACTGTGGACAGGCTGAGAATATTATCGTTTTAATTATACGATAGAAGTACCTTTGTAGACTCATAAAATTCATCCTACGTAGAACCACTTTATTTTATGGCCTCTTTTTTATCTAAATTATAAACAGGCCAAGTCGGTTCCTCTAGCAGTAGTTATATAGCAATTTATTACACAGTGCGACACATTTGTGATAGATTTGGGAGCACAAAATTAGCGTTATTAAATAATTACTAGATACCAGATATTCACTCATTACAATTTCCAAGACGCTTCGATGATTTAGTTTGCTCTAATACATTGCGATACTTTGTCATTTTTTTACATTTTTTGGCGATTGCACTGTTGTTCATTTTTCTGACAATTTGCAATAAGGCGTACGGCCAATATCTCTTGGCCGCCGTCGTACCCAACGTAGCCCCCTGATTAGCAATAACGAAGACATTGTTAATCACTCACTACATTATATACCGAATTTAGGATCTGTGTAATGTAATAATCTACTTATTACCGAAAATTGCATATGAGTTATATGTCAGATCTACTAATTGTGTATTTGAAGCTAATTATCCCGTAGAATTCTGCTAGGTGCCTGGGTAATTCTGTCGTTCTTATTGCGTATGTAACTCGTTACTTAGCAGCCGGTGCTTTCCTACAGTTGCTTATGTGGTTATAATTGGTGGCCTACATATAGAATCAGGTAAAAATATCTAATTCTGTGGGATCTAAATTAAGCACAATAATTGCTGTATACTCATAACTGTGTGAAAAATATAGTCAGGTGCATAGATGGAATTGTGTGTCTGCACACTAAAAGAATCTGCGACTGTTTATTAGTGTACACACGCACATAGTCAATTAGCAGACATCAAAGGTTTATACCCAAACTTGCACACTCCTACTGAAACGCTGAGCCGAGCAATACGGCAAAGATCATTGTAGCGTTGCCAGGGTTAAGCCAGAAGCTTGATGGAGCGACCGACTGTTGCAACAGAGGAAATTTGGCCGATCAATACTCCAGTCTTCTAGCAAACTGTGAACGTCCAAAAGCTGCTTGAGTGCTGCAAGTGTATAAAACGTAAAGCACAAGGCCACTAACACATTAAAAAGCATTATTTTATAAGCTATGCAATTTCAATATTCGTTGGATTTGCTAATGACAGTAAAAATGTATATATATATCTATATATATATATATATATATATCAAAATCTGGATCTTTCTATACGCATTGTTTTCAAAAGTACATCTGGGGAAAAAATATTTTCATAGAATCTCTTCCATATGTTTGAAGCATCATTTTTGACTGTCACGCGTATCTACCATCAATCATCATCTACCGGGATAATGTGAAATTTACTGCTTATCCTTTGCCGTTGTTAGTCATTATAGGGCTCGCGAAAAATTCGAAATTGATTTTCACAGAAAAAACCTACAAGACGTATCAGACTGGACGAGTAAAACGTATCAAACAGCTCATATCGATGAGCTGTTTATAGGAAACATTGCAGCGGTCACGTCGAATATTTGCCAAAACGACGGAGCATTTAAATAGTTTTGAAGTGTCACCATCAGGGGCAATATGGCAAACGCTCAGACATGGTTTGATCAACCGCGGGTGAATTGATGTACTTTGCGACACGGTTTCTCATATGACATGGTGATTTCCGAGATAACTCATACTGAATCGACACAACACCATCAGACATGCATACGCTATGTAGAAGGCCTAGCAGACGATGCTCTGCGTATGTTAAACACATGCAAAGCACTTGAACAAATAAAGTGAATATATGCGGGCTACGCACACACAAAAGCGATGAGTGAGAGGATGAAAAGCTTTTTCAGTTATAAGTAAATGCGACTCAAAAGAAGACTAGTACCGTAGTAAGATGCGACTTAGCAAGAGAGATCATTAGAAAATTACTGACTAGATGAGGGTAGGCTGGCTAGATCCCTACCAGACATAAGAACCCATTTGATTAGACAAGCTTGACTTCTGGCAGCTAATACAAAGACAGGTGCTGCCAGATCTTGTTTGCAGGTGTCGAAGAATAGCGTGTCTGGTGATATACGGGATTAGCAATGTAGTCCTGACCAGATGATCAGATAGGCACCACCTACTTTTCTGTCACTTCCATCTTAAATGCAAATCCGATGTTGACGGGGAGTAAAAAGCCGAAAGCCGTTGCGGTGAGTTAATCGGCATTAATTGTCTCGATAAATCAGCCTCGCCTAGTGGTGTGTAACCATTAAATGTGTAAACCATTAAAAGACGGCATATTAGAAAAGGGAAGCAATAAATAAAAACGGAAAGAGCTTTTCTGCCGACCTCATTAGCACAACAGAGCAGGCCACCTCGTGTAACCCGGAGTTCGTTATTTTTACAGTTTATGACAACGCCTTTGACGACGAGCTCGTAATCAATTAGTCTACGACCTTCGGAATAGTAGTCTTCGAATGGTGCGCACGTAACTTCATTATGTATTCTAATATATCTTTCTTCGTCTAATATAGTGAGCGTAGGCGAACTGTTTTCTAATTTGAAGCATTTTGTCGTATAAGATGTTATACGCAATCTTGACATCGGGAAAATTAGCTATCAGCAGATTCCTATCCCAAATCATTATCTATACCAAATCATTTGCGGTCTTTTATCTATGCGACTCGAGACACTCATGTACAAACCATGATTATAAAATAATTTGTTTGTATTAATCTAGAAAAATAAAATAATTTTGCTAGGCCATACACTTACAGAAAAACCGTTTTTTTTTGTATTTTATTTTATTAGAACTCAGGTTTTTACAGAAAATCTTAAGTTGGTATGTTTCATACCGACAATATGACAATCCATATTTGCAGTACCAGGGCAGAGATTTTCACTTCCGAGCAAAATCTCAATGCAAATATATTAGGACTTACAAATTGTGACTTTATACAATTTTATGGTTCACAGTGCCTTTTTTTATTTGGCTGTTTTTCTATATCACTCCGATGTAATAACTCAATCTAATTTAAAACTTGCGTTTTGTTCGAGAGTGACTCGATTTAGAATATAGGCTCTTCCTTAGAAGGCAGCGTGGCCTTTTCCGTATTCCTCTACGACATTGTTCTTGCCAGCTCCATTCAAATTTATTTTCCAAATCATTAATATACGGTTTATACCATATATGATGATACTTCCACTTCACATTTGCTATGTTATACTTAATATGCGTTCTAAAACTTTACAAGGCATAAACAAAATCAGATTGTTGTACTGGCTAGATATCAAGCCTGTGACACGCGTGAAACCCATTAAGTAGATTATACTAGACCATTCTACGCTTTCGTAACTCTAGTAGGCGTACGCGTTATGAAGACAATCATGCTAGTGTAAGTATATCTGGTTTGAATTTTACGTCCGATACGATGATTGCTGTGTTGTCATTGCGGTACTGCGGTACTATGTTTCCTGCGGTACTTTCCTATGCTGAATCAGGTTTATTACTTAAAAGGGTCATATCGTTTAAAGAAAATGAGAATATACTGGTTCAGGCAAAATTATATATTTCTTCTCGTTTGCGATTTTTTTAATTATATATAGAAAGTCTGTTATAATGCTTGTGATAATAGGATAAGTACTATTGATAATTTCAATCATATATTATTGAGAACAGCTTATGTCCTTATCGCTTCACTCACCAAAACCGGAAATTTGCTTGACTAATTTATATAAAACAGCATGAAAGGTTTACTTGCCTTTTTTGTACTTACTATCGACGTTGAAAATATAGTAATCAATCTTATTATTTGTGTTTTTCTTTACTTTGTTTCACAGGTACGGCTCGATTCGGCAACTACTAATTCACGCCCGGGAAAGCCAAAACTACATAGTTTTAATGACTTGAGACCGGTGTATACTGGTTCATTGAACACTCAAGTGAAGTCAGTAAAAGCCTTTTCGCTTACTTCGTCTGTAATTGCACTCGCTTTACAGCCATTAATGTTTGAGAAACTCGTGCTTAATCAGCCCGTTTTAACTGGTATGATATTCTGGCATTATAAATAAAGTATATATATATAATATTAAACATAATAACATATTATCTTATGATAGCCTTGACCTGGTTGCCTCGTAACCACTGAAGTGTATACGTACTATACATTATTACAATTTTTTTTGCAAAGTTTTATGCCTGTGCTGGGACAGGAGTATGAATTACTAAAGAGCAAAACGGGCGTTAGGCGATATCAGCAGGTTCGCCATGTATAACACGATTGTCTTGTATGAATGATCTTTGATGAACGCACTTATTGTTTTGAGAACTGGCGCTTATCGATCACTACTTATGTGCATTATTTCCAGAACTTAGATGAATACGGGTGTCTGATATAAAATAGTAAGTTTATGTTGATATTCAACCTAAATTTACTTTAAAATTTTGTCTTTATTTTGAGCAAGGTGTATTTTTAGGCACCGGTTGCCTAGGCTTTATCCTGGGAACGCCTCTTCTTCTACATTACGTTACAAAGAGATACGTAATAGAGTTGCGATTTAGTGCGCAATCTAGGATTTTCGAAGCTGATACTTATTCGTTGTTGCTACGCCGTCAAACACTACGATTCACAGCCGCTGACGTTAACGTTCCTAGCGTTCCCGGGCCGATAACTTCCATTGTGGCTTCAGGAAAGCCTCTACTTATTGATTTCAACCTGTTCACGGTAGGTGTGATGTATATACCAATCTCAACTATGATTGATACAAAATATATTCTCTCGTGTAACGTGGAGCCAATTAGTCTTCTAGTGCATTGCCATTCTATTCAACATCTACTTTCGATGTAAATTTTACTTGATATCTAAATGTTACTTATAAAGGTAAATGTACGATAGCCATAGTTTGTTTTAACTTTTCTGCAATAGTCTTTTTCAAATTCATCTTCTTTATCAGTGTACTTATTTGACGTTCTTTTGATTGTTGTGGGCAGACGAATAAGCTGGTATTGCTGAATCTACCACAGATCCGACGCTCAGACCGTATATTTCGAGATTAGGACACACACGAGCAACTTACCATTTCAGTAATAGTTTATTTCTTACTTTTATAAACGAAATCATTCTTGTATCAGACAAAGGTTTTCTTAAAAACTAGGTATTCTACGCATGAGGTGTTTTTCTAGGTTGTAGTTTTTTTCCTCCGTGCACTTTAGCGCTGATGCAAATAACAGACAATATGATTATTACATAATATCTAGAGCTAACTGCAATTGCAATCTCAACTATGTACAGCTAAGTCGTAAAAGTATGTAAATCTTCTCTAAAAGGCTATATTTAAAGGTTGAGGATAGCCGTGCGAAGTTCCCTAAATCACTGTCTTATAAAAATAAATAAATAAAATAAAGCTACTGTTATTATTATTATTATTTTCATTACTGTTGTCAGTGTTGCTTGTGCATAGCTAAAATAAGTGCTCTGAGTTCTACGTCCGGTACTGCTGTGAAGTGTTACATCAAAGGCCGGGCCTCCATCGCGAAATAAAGTGTGTTCAGGCCTCATTCTAAATTAGATCACCTCGCCTTGTGTCCCCAACTTAAGTGGGCAAACATATCACGGGAACCGCGGTTTATAACCGATGTTCGTTTTTATTAATAGACTCCTTTTTTCTAATTTCATGTTTGCTGATGATCAAGTATTATAAACTATTGTGAGGCTCTCTCTTCGATTTGAAGGCTAGTTTATAATTATTCTTTGTCGGTAAGTTTTACCTGTAATTTGGGTTGCAAAAATATGTTTTACAAAATAGCGGAAGCTGCTCAGAATGTTTGTTCCATATAATTAACCAATATACATTTATTTATTATTATAATTGGTATTATTTTTCATACCAGTGCTGCGTTGATTGTGTTTTGTTGGTATTCTTTATGTGTTTGATCTGGCTTTTGTTGAAATTTGTAGTTGCCCTTTATTACATATCATTATTTATGATCTTTCCATTGATAGCCGGCAAATTGGGTACAAATCTTGGTAAGGCAAAAAATAGAAAAATTGAAGGTTATTTCTTTGCTATTTTAATATAGACAGAAATAGTAAAATGCAAAACAAACACCCCTAGGGCGAAAAATGCTGATGTGGATGACCCAAGACAACTGAAAACATCTATTGCCTTTCCTATTTTTGAAATATAACTGTGTCTCATGATTCATACCTTTTTGGTGCAAGATGATGTTAGTTGTTCAGGTAACAGTATGTATAATGTACCTATGATTACTATTAGTTTTCGTTTTATTTATTGTTAACCATTAATTATCAATGTCGCCACACAAAGGTTAATTTTTGAAAAACGGCTTCTGTTTGATGGAACAAATGGTGCATTTTAGCTTTGTAAATTAATTTTTAGTTATTCTATAAAAATAAATAAAAATTCTTGCAAGCGGTCATACCAGCTAACCTATTTCCCAGTTCAGTGGGTACTTATCTTTATTTAAAATCGAATCGAAGCGATTTTCGACGAATCCAAAAAGGCGAGTAAAATGCGGTTTTTAGGTTGAAGATGTGATTGCTGATTTCACCCAGTCATTTTTAAGTAGTAATCTCAGTCTTAGAATCCTGGTGATACACTTCCACTTATCCAGGCAGCTTTTCATCATCAATTAAAGACGAGTAAAAATATCGATCTAAAATGCTGTTGTTTGCTAGTGCACATGCTTATCTTTGGAGCTCTTAAGCAAGATAGAAATTTATAATCCAAGCGAAACGATGACAAATATGGAACAAAAGAAGATCTTTAACGATATATAATACTCAACCGACAACGAATGAGACAAAAAGCAAAAGTCGTTAAAAAAATAATCATTAACTATGCATTAATTCAATACTATTTCATTTGTAAACTATTGTAGTATGAACTTAACAGGTTAAAAAGCTCTTCAAAAGCTGTCAAACGAAGCTTATTTGACTAAAATACCGCTCCCAATACCAAAAAGACCGTCTCCATTGGGATAATACAGAAAAATGTTTTAAATATGGAAGTTTCTACCTACCCCCTATCAGAGCACGATGATCGGTTCAATTTTGACGAGCACCCTTTGTTCTATATTCTAGGATAAGTTCTATTTTCATCGCCTCCAAAACTGAGCCTCTGTTAAAAACGACGCTTTTCAGTTAATTCTACCAATTGCTTTCTTGTTCATTCCTTGGCGAACATGACTGTTTTTCTGACCGATCAAAAATGGAAAGTCAGGTCATGATGCAAACATATCGATTCTGATATTTCTCACAAGACATCTCTTCCAGTTTTTTTGAAAAGTGCAGTAGAATTTAAGAAAATTTTCAGATTACGAAGTAAACACCTCCCATCCCATTCTTCTACCAATGAAATGAATGTCAAATTTGCAGTGAAACTTAAATCGATTTGGCCTAATATTATTTGATTTTTACTACCTCAATTTCGTAGAAAGTTTTCTGCCTTAGTAAACAAATTATCATGCTTGCATCTTGTTTGTGCGCATGGACGTTTGCTACCGCTTGACGGGCGTCCTGATTTGTAGCGTCAATTAAGGCTTTAATCTGCTTTAAATAAAGACTTTTATTTTTTAACTTAGCAAAATTCTATGGTATGAACTGTACGTCGTTAGGAAACAGACAAAAAGGCTCCGATTTTTTAGTTTAGTATTGAGACGCATTACAAAACATTGCAAAGTTTTAATGTCTAACATCTTTTGATTTTAACTTTTTTGTTGTTTGTTTCATATTTCTGGCATCATAATGGTTTCCGTCCGAGTGTTAGTTACCGTAATACGATTTTGGGATTTCGTTCCGCCAGTCAGCTGATATCTATATTTTTCTGTCTTTTGAACGGTGAACAATACCTGCTCTTCCTTTTGTGGCAGCAGGAGGTAACGCATCTGTACGCTTGGCGGTAGTGCCCGATTAATGAAATACCGAGATCTCAAAGCCCGAGATTGATGTTTTCAACAAGTCGCACCGACTTCAGTTTTCTGGAGATAAGTGGTTCTTTTGATGCGTCCTATAGGTTGAATCGTTGGTCCTTAAGGGTTTTCAGCACGGTCAGCATCCTCTTTCTTAGGATTGATTTGTGCCCTTCCAGTTTCATGAAAGAGTTTTGGATGGCACACTTCCTTGCCGCCAGATATCAAATCTGAAACTTCTGTGGTTCATACAGACGGCTCCTTAAAAAGCTGAAAATTTCATATTAAAATTCTTTACCGTAAAACGCGTTATTCGATTCGCAATCCACGAGAAATATTTGATAAAGACAATGAACGTGTGCACAAAAACTTAAACATCGGTGAACCTGTCTCATATTCACGGGCTACTTCAAGTTTCTGCACCAACTTTTTTTGAAGACTTTATATTCCCATAATTGGTTCGACCCGGAAATACAATTTAACGGTAGGAATGTTTTTAAGAGCGTTTGTTATAGTATCTTCACCTACGATTGGCATCACAACATCAGGTAGATGTTATGTAGGTCAAGAGTGGATTCAGCCTGATTGTTGCACGTATTTCCACCTAACCGCTACGCCTTATTTCTCAATTGCCCCCAATGACCACAAATTTGCGTTAGTAATACGTGCTGATTGGAGGGAGTGGTATGTATCATTGAGTAAGTTGCTTAGGGGACCTCGTCGATCCATAACCAAAGGAGGAAATCTAAAGTTCGTTTTTTTAAACAGTATTTCTGTATGTAGCTCGGGTTCGATTTCAGTGCAGTACAGGAAGCTAACATATGCATAGCGCTATCTTTTGCAACTTCCTTGTTGAAATAAACGCTATTATCTGGGGAAAATTACTCGATTCGGTGAAAGTAGTCTTAAAAATTCCCGTAAGCTGTCAAGAACTGCGTGAAGACGACTGAAATATATTTTCGATTTCGCCACCCAAACCTGGATATTCGGAATGAAGCTCCTGACCTGCAAACCCGGAGCGCCTAATATCGTTCTGGCTGTGATGCATACATTGATATTTTTCAGGCGGAGCGATCTGATTCTGGTCTTAGATGCATCTCAGCTGTTTTTGGGGTCTCATGGATTGGAACCGACAGACACCAATGTGACTTAAATGCTAATTATCCTGTACGCTTAAGAGGCTTTCAAAAAAAGGGTACACTGAGTCTTCCTAAAAGTAGTTTCAGTAAGAGCTACGGATCAGTCTGACATTATCTATGCTGAGCCTCGAAGAGTACCATCGACTCTACCACTATGATTAGAAGCTTGTGCTTTGATCTTTTAGACCGTATACGTTTAGTGTTATCTTAACCAATTCAGCTAAAATCTTTCTTTGCTTGGCGTGTCGCACCTGATCCGTTTCTCTCATAGTTTGCTCGAGCTGTATCTTAAGGTAATGTGATCTCTTGACCATCTTCACCTTTTCTTCATTGACGGTAACTGGCATATCCGTGCCTTTTATTGATTGTCTATAACATCGCTATTAATGATGCGAAGTTTAGCATTTGCGGGAATGTTTAATTTATTCTACTTGCTAGCTCAGCAGCTTTCCGTGTTAGAACTATCATTGTGAAATCGGATGCGAATTTTTACAGGAACGTAGCAATTAAGACGTTTTGAGATAGGGTAGTTATGAGATAGTTCCCAGGTGAATATGCTTCAGCTGAACGCGCCACCGTTCACGACCGTCCCAGCAACTTCTGTTTTCTATAATAAGAAGCTCTTGCAAACAAGACTTATGTAGAAATGATTATTATGTAGAAGTGTTTCTAATTATCCCACGTCTCAATATTGTCGACTGCTACGTGCGCCCTCACCTGACAGAAAATGAAATCAATTATTGAAAAGTTTACCAAATATCTATAAGCGATTCGATTGAGAATTTGAGGTGCGGCAAGGGAAATCTAGTATAAGCTTCCATAGCACAATCCAATACGTAACGAGCGTCTTCGGCAGGTTTTTCCTATCACTTCTTGCTGGACAGCGTTATTTAGTATTCATCTAAGCGATTGCTGTGTCCCAGGAGAGCCGCTTTTTTTTTGCCTTACTTTTGGCAATACCTAAAGAAAACGGTAATCCCAAAGAGCCATCTAGCTGGTGAGGCATTGCATAAAAGAGTTTCTGGTATCGTCACTGCAACTCCTCATAAACAATTTACAGCAATATCTATGTACTATGCGCGACAAAAAGCGTCGCTTCCAGCCATTAATGGCGATTACCTGCGTTTAGCACGAACGGCGCGGGTCGCGCTCACACGTTCGTTCTCCGAGCCGTAAACTGCTACCCATGCGGAAAAAGGGTGATACACCGTTTCAATTCGTTAACAAGCGCCTTCGTATTCGAAAGTGAGCAATATATCGTAGAAACGTCGGAAAATTGAAATTAGGTGAGATCTTAATGTTTTAGCAGTATGTGTTGTCACGACTACGCATATGATATGCATACTGCTGTGCCGAGCTTATATATTTAAAGAAGTTGACAAGAAAGAAATTCTGATCAGTCGCGCTCTTCGTCCGATGCAGGTGTGAAAAACGATTGGAATAAGTAAGAAATAATTTGAAAATTTTTTGGTGCTGTAAAACTATCTTATCCGTGAGAATAGCCTAATCAAACAATCGTCGTCTAAGGATCAGAGCCACATTTGTGAGCGCAAACAACACTGCCTTGGCGTGCTTTTTCTTTTACCCGATAGATATTCTTTAGATGTCTTGGCTGTGGACTGACAGGTCCACCTGTAGACCCGCTTAGCAAACTCATGGATTTCGTTTGCCGCAGATATGAGAGTTACCGCTGGTAGGTATCAACCAGCAGTCGGCGTAACTGAGTGCTCGATAAGTGCACGATATGTCTCTTCAACCTTTGGTGCAAACATGTCCGCCGAAAGGAAAATGCGAGCCTCTACCAATACATTTTCGAACGTGAGCTTTCTTTCGGTTGCCTTTACTACCATATCATCGTTTGGATGCTAGACGCCTTAAGCTGAACTTTTGTGAGAATTAAAGCAGATTTAAATTCAACGATAGGCTGGTCGTAGGTAATTCGGTCTGTTACCTCCGAAGTTACGCTGGTAGTCTTAAGGTGCGGGCATGGTTTAACAAGCTGGGTCATACTTAACTTCGCTTCAATATGCTAGTGCGTTACCGTATCATTTCGCGAAACAAGCATATAGCACGTTATTGCGTTTTCTCTATTGCGAAAATACCGAAATTTCAGATAAACTCTTACAAGAATTAGAATCTTAGAAGAACCTATTGTTGCGAAGTACGCTAACCATAATTCAGTGTATTGAAGAAACATGTATCACTTATAAGTAGATCTTTCCAATCTTGATACAGTCGTTGCATAGTCTTATGGACAGTTAACATCTCCATGGCTGCACTATTTAACCGGATCTGTTTCACATGGATATTGTTTTGCGAAATTGAATCAACACGTGTTTGAGATCTAGTTCCAAAGTTAAAATGCAGTAAGATGCGTTGCATGTAAATACGTCGTATTCGAGACTTACGTAGCCTTGAGCAAGTAACCCACTGATACATAGTCGGATATGTTCCTATATAAAACCTAAATCTGGCTAGAATCTCATTTAGCAAGCATCAATGGCACATGTATTGAACTTCAAGGAGCACTCTGTCGAACTGTTTCTATGTTCGTTATCCTGTTTTCAGTCTTCTCCAATCAGGATCGTCAGCCGCATTGGCTATCCATTTAATCTAACAATCAAAGAAGCCTATATCTCTCGTCTAGCGTAGAAATTCCTGGCTATATCTGGTTCATGTCATATTTACAATATGCCATGGTGATATTATATTATTAAATAATCGGTATTGTTCTCAATAACATGTAATACTATAAGGCGAATAATTTAAATCGTTCTCACTTAGCTGTTCTACGCTATACACATTAGACACTGAATGCCCGTAGAATGCTACAAGTTACATTATTTATTACTATTTTTATGAAAATTTTTATGGAATAATAGTTAACACGTATTTGACTTTCCTATACTTCGTGCATTTTGATACAATTTACAGATAAGGTATACATTTTTCTTTGAAGATTACCAAGTAGGTATACTGCGTAATCTTCGTGTACTCATCTTCATGAAACCCAACTTCATTCTTGTGTAGAATTCATTCTTGATATGCTTTTGTAAATAACCATAGAAGGATCGTTACACATTGTTTTAGCCGCATTTTTATTCCTAAAACATGAGAGGCGAAGATATAGGGGCGTTACCGCTATTATAAGTTCGCATTGCTTCTTTTCAGGATGCTGACGCGTACGAACACCTTTTGGGGTATGACAAACCTCTTAATCTTCAGTTCAACGAAATCAAATCAAATTCGTCATGACAGCGTAGACGATCGGCGTATTAACTATATATTAATAAGCGAACATATGTGTGCGTAGACGGTTGATATATTGTAAATAAATAGTTAATAATTATTAAGGATTTTTAATGTTTAGTTGAAGGCTCTGTAAACTGTGGCGCCAAATACGGCGCAAAGTCTTCGTTATCTCATGGCTCACCTTTTCAATGTGAATTTTGCACAGACTCCTTATGTAGTAAACGCGCATCCTCTATTTTCCCCCGATGTAGTAGTGCTCTCCCTTTTTAACAAGCGTTCACTGCTTTGACCAAGCACATAGACTGAATATCGATACTTAACATATCTAAGAAGAGATAATTGATTTGCTTATTAAATAATTTATATTAAGTTCTAAAAGACAATATGTGCTTTCATTCACATCGAGCAATTACTAGTAACGATATTATTCTAAAACGAATTACTCTCACGAAAACGATTTTAAGATTTTTTTTGTGCGTAAATTTGTTTTGAAGTAAATTACTCCGGTTAAGAACAAAGATCAAGGATAATTCGTTTACGAAGAGAATAAATCTTACTGGAAGCTTCGTAAATATTTGGATTTTTGTAAAAATTCATATTTCTTCTAGGCCTCAATACAGTTCTTTAATATACAACCGTTGAGAATTTCTAAGATGTATCAGTGTAAAGGTTGCATGGTTTTGCCAATATTGAACCAATGAGGGAAGATGTGTTAGTCTCTCTAGCGAAATAGGATAACCCCGCGAAGCTAATTATTAGATAAGCTAAAATGAGGTGATCAAAACAGCTCCGGGATGACTTAATAGGATAGGAGACGACTAACTAGATAAATTTAGTTAGCGATTGAGATACACGTTAGAAGTTTTTTGTCTTAAGGATCGGTGTGTACTTAGCTAACACGTCGCGGATCCCGACCGACGAGGAGATCGATTTAAGTGTAGATCCTTCACTCACACGTGTACCTTCACAGGTTAATTTCTTATACAACGTTGTTTCAATCTTGTAACGGCGTTGCTAATTTTATAGCGATACACATTAGAATTTCAATGATTGACACATCTTATCTTGACTAGACTTACTTTATTCACATGTATGATTTGCCTCTGTACATTAGCATCATTTCCCTCGAGACTTCTAGGACACTCGGTGTACTTACATCATCGTCGTCGTTATAATTGCAGCAGTTTTCCCGATTTCCTAGGGAATGATCTATTCATTTTATCCTTTTTTAATTCCAAGCAAAGTTAGCTTGTTCTATTTTGTACATGTATCATTTATATTCTGTACCTTTTCTTTGTAATACATGCATACGTAGTTTATAGATTAAATTTAGCTCGGCGCGGCTTTTCACTTAATTTTGTGTGTTCCCATTTCATATTTCAAATATGATTTGTAGCGGTGTTTATATATTTTTTGTAGGATTAGGGGCCACCTCTATCACTACAATATTATACAGTAGCGGGACCTTCTCTCCGAGAACGATATTTCCTGATCCATACGAAAAATATAGCAAAGCCGAAACGCGCCCATCAATCATACGTCTACAATAGGATCATCATTGTAGGGATCATCTTCATCTTTGAATGGTCCTGACTTACTATCATCATCCGAGCCGAGTTGATTCTCTGGAACATCATGAATCTTACGCAGATGTTTCTTTAAGTCGAAGTTTCTACAGAAACCTTTGCCGCACTCCTTACAGGTATATGGTTTTGTGTCGTTGTGAGTGTGCATGTGGAACGTCAGATTGTAAATTTGATGGAAAGCCTTTTGGCATATGTGACATTTATACGACTTTTCGCCCGTGTGCGTTAGACGATGATTTTTGTAATTACCCTTTTGATGGAAGCCCTTTCCGCAAAATTCGCACACCCATGGCTTGAAACCAACGTGAATGCGGATGTGTGTCGATAAGGTAGAGCTACGATTGAATGCCTTTCCGCACGTTTGGCATTTATGGGGTTTTTCAGCGGTATGAATGATCTTATGGCGACAAAGTGTTGAAGCTTGTCTGAATCCTTTACCACACACTTTACACACGAATGGCCGAGCGCCAGTATGCACAGGCATATGCCGTGTTAAATTGTAGTGTGCGTTGAAGACCTTTCCGCATTCAGGGCACGGGAAGGTTTTAGGTACCGAGTTGCCTAGGGCTGCTCCGTTGTGCTCTTTTTTAATAGAGCTTCCTGGTGTAGATGGCGTATTTATCTCCTCTAGAGATGCATCTCTGTTTGTTGTAATCTTCAGCGCATCGTAACGTTCGGTCCAAAGGCGATAATCTTCAGTCGACTGCATATAGCTAAGGGCCGCAGCTTGCATGGGGTTAAGCCAGTGGTTAGTATAGAGGTTGTTAAGTGTATTGAAGTAGCTACTGTGTAACGGGTCTATGAGAGGATTCAACAAAGAGTGAGGTGGGCCAGGTATTGGAGTTGGGCCAGATGCGGGGCCTATTAATCGCTCTATGGAAAATGTCAACACTGATGGTTGTTGATTTGGTGGGGAGTCCGATGTTGTCATTTTGCCTGAAAAAAGTAAATCACAACTCTATTATAATTTCGCTTAGCATTAGAATGTATTATTACTGATGTACCGAATGGCTGAAGAAGATACTTACGCAAATTTTTCTCGTAATTAAAATTTGTTTTTCTTGCTGCGTTACGAACAACGAATGTATATGTAAACCACTTTGCATATAATAAACGTTTCCAAACTCGGACTATTCATTAAAAGACCTTAGGTAACTTAGAAATATCTATGTGTGCGCAGGTTTCAAGCCCAGTTGATTAACGCTATGTCAACATGGTCAAAAAAGTCTTCTTTTGTCTTAAAGAATTGACCATATTGACCGGATTTGATCATAACTTCTACTTTAGTTGCTGTTGACTTTTCGCAGAAATTTTGTCTGCAAGCTTAGACTAAAGCCATTTGTACAATTGGCTGAGAGTTAATATTAACGAAGAATGGCATGATTAAAATAAGCAAACTCAATAGCATATGTATCACATTTTTGTTGGGTATATTTATGTTAGGTCTATCTCTTCTTATAAAAATAGCAGAAATATTTTCTATCTTGTTGTGATTTAAAGACGACATCACTCACACTCAGTGTAAGTGTTGCAGAAGGCCTTTGAGAATTGGCCTATTGTATGTTGTGTGTGACAATGCGTAAGAGATGGGTGCGATACTCTTTTCTTACAGTTCTCTTTCTGGGCAACCTGAGCTGTGCATTCGATTATAAGCCGCTAAAAATTAATCAACGCTGCTTTTCCGGCGTTTTTCATTAGTCAATCATGTTGACATATAATTTGTTTATATTATAAGAGATGTATATAGTTTATTGAACCAAGCTAACAAACAGCTCTTTTCTTAAATAAGTTATCTGTTTTTACTATGCCTATTATCGTACACTGATAGGTTGTGATTTCAGTGTCGTTATATTGTTATGTTTCAAGTACCGTTGTGTATATATATGGTGGATTGAATAGTTGGATGTTGCTAGTTTTTAAATGACGTAGTATTTATTAGTTTTTTGCGGGATGTTTTCTGGCTGTGCGGAGTTATTGTAGTCCACAGATCCGAATCATATCGCTGTTGATCAGCTAGGATATGACAGAACGTAGAGTTACTGAACCACCGACAAATAATTAAAGCACACTTAACAAATTTCCATTAAATTTCCCGAAACGAAATCGATCTAGCTATCTGACAGAGAGGCGAACATTATACCCAACCTAAGTCCAACTATAGCCGGAAGTTCAGAGTTTTACGTTCGATACAGCCAAGAAACAGGGTAGAGATGTACTCAACAGCAGGTCTTCAACTTCAAAACCTTATCCCGTCACTCTCTTTCAATTATTCTATTATGACTGTACCTTCACTCTGATCTGGTTGTCCCATCGTCCAGAAGATCTAGAATTCGCATTCCTATGGCTGCTATTCTGCTATCTCACAATGGAACTGACCTCAACTTCAAAATTTGAATAATGCTAAATATAATTTCTATAACAATAGCAAGCAATCTTTCTGCAGGTGCACTCGACCTTCAGTACTACGCCGTGCTTTTTAGCACCTTATCTATACATATATAGCATTGCTTGCCCCGTCCAGAAATACCATTAGTTTAACTATTATTGTTGCTCTTTGGCGCGCCAATCTTATTCTCCTATTAGAATGTAATATGATAATATTTACGTCAGTGATTTTCTTTACGTCATACCTGTAACGTTGAATCAATGATCTTCTCTAAAACTTGGTAAGACTTAAACAAGGTTATATATAGGATTTTTAGTAGGACTCATTGATACGGCCTGTATTACCTACTGTTATTACAACAATGCTCCTATGTTATATTTACTCTACCACAAGGCCTGATGGACTTACAGGGCTCAATACTATAATACGGCCACTCTCCTGAACTTTGTGCCAGTAATCACGGCCCAAGAGGAAAAAGGTTCTCTTGGAAAAATCGCGCAATAATCAATAAACATAATTTCTAATAAAGAGTTGTCCATTCCTTAGATGAAATGTTGTCTTCGCTGATGACCACAAGCACAGTGTCATCGATATCTTTACATCCAGGTTACGCCAAATTATAGAAAGATAAATCCGTCAAATATAAGCCGTTCTAGGCTGTCATGTCCCATAAAATGAGAATCAAACCACAGGTAAGTAAAAAGTCCTACCGATGATTGCGGCAGCTACTTCTAAGCGTTTTTATAGCCGCAGCGAGTATTTTATAGATGCAATTAATATACAACACATAGCCATTGGTAGCGATTTTCGGCAAATGAAAAAATTAAGAGGTTAATTTTTAATCTTAAATGATGTTGTATTAAAATATGAATATTATCGAGGCACATGAGTATATAATGTCGTAGGTAATTTATTACTTTGTGACTTTGTTTCATGCTCTGCGTTCTTATGATGGTAATTTTCCAGATAAATATTCTCAAGTCCTTCAGAGAAGCTGCAACGCTGACTGTATTATACTTTAGTAGTTACTATTGGTTTATACACTCGTGAGAATTGTCTGTCAAATTTCTCATTATATCAGTACATTCAGCTCTATTTCGAAACAGTGTTCACCCAGCTGTCTTTCTTCAGGTTCCACTCTGTCGTTAGCCCTCGTATCGCCATTGTCACGACACAGCTGTTCATCCCTATATCCCAATAATAAATAATTACCTGGACTGATTTGGGACAGTGATTGTGTTGACCTCCCGTTAGCTCTCCAAAAGCTTTTCCTTCTTCTTCTCTATTTCTGAGACAACAGGGTGAAAAAGGTTCGAGCTAACCGATCTGTACACAGGCACGAGGGGGAGCCGAAGCAAAAAGAGAACGTAGATACATAGACGTTTGAAAAGACAAAATGGGAAAGAAAAAAGAGGATGTGAATGGACAGGGGAACTAATCAGTGGCAAAGCTACCCTAATTCATCCTTCGTTCAAACATCCTATTTCGATCGGTTTAACTTGTTATATTGGTTGCCGTTTGTTCTCTTACCCAATCGACTCCTCTCATATAATATAATACTTCTGTGAAAATTCGCGAATACTTTCCTGCCATCAGCTCGTTTCGATATGTGCGGATGTTACAGTGTCGAAGTACAAGAGCAACGGGTGCATTTTCGCATTGTGGTTTTTGAATGAGACACTTTTCCTCTCAGGGGACAGACACACAGCAACACAAACACCGTTGCATAATAGAGGAGCTTTCCAATGGAACAAGCCAGCACGAGAATGCTACCTATGGAGTACTTTTTCTTTTGAATCGCCTTCGCAGCAACCCGGGGGAGACTTAGGCCCTCAGACACGTCTGCCCGAACGACCAGGATGTATACAATGCGAAGCTTGAGAATCGTTTCGAGAAGTGGGACACACTATTCATGGGTACCATACATTATGGCCAGTGTCAGCTATGCTGGTCTAACAACAATATCAAGATTTGATTATTTAGAAAAGAGAAATAAGCTAAATATAAAAGTAGTTTTTATGTGGCCTGTGTAAATTCCAGACGCCTCCATAATCCTAGCAAAATAAAACATCAGTAATTTTTTTTGTTAAACCTCTGATATTATAAATTTTATCTTATCTTCACCAAGGTATACCGCTTGCTCGAAAGCATTTCGGTCTCTTGATTTTTATCTTTTTTAGACTCTGACAAATTTTTGAGCTAAATTTGCTGGTGATGGTCAGTTGCTTTCATTATACGGAATTCTGTGGAAACTGGCTAAGTGTACCCGAGTTTCGTTTATTTGGGAGTTACTTTTAGAAGTTTATAAACGCACATATCTACGTTTATACAACGATGACGCACATAAAAATTTTTACCGCCACTCTCTACTTACAGCTCTTTTTGTCTTCTCCTTCAAATAATGAGAAATAATAGCATGTAATCTTACTCAGTCATACAACTAAAAAAAAAAAAGTTAGTGAAACTATCTTTTAGTTACGGCTCTTCAAAGTATCGCGGATCTAAATAGACAGCCTTTGACGGCTAGCTCTTCAAGACATTTCTCTCTACCTTGTTAATGCGCTTTCTAATAGGTTATATAGGAAACACAATTCAGTAACACATTATTTACCTTTAAGAGTTCTACACGAGGCTCAACTTGCAGGTTCGGTAGCTATTTTAGGTACCATCGTTTTTGAAGTCGCGATGTCGACTTGTAATTTCTCCACAAAAAGGAGCTTAAGATTCATCTCATTCAATGTATTCCCTTCAGGAAAAAAAATCACCTATTCTTATTTTGTAAACTTCATACTATAAAAGCAAATTGAGGTTTTGGCGCCATTTTTACTCATCCTTGGTCATTATTATTTTTATTTTTATCAGACTTTTTCAAAAAAAATCACAGAAAGAATCCGCTTACACTTTTGACTAGTGTGGGATCTTATTGTAACTGAAAAATCTGATTGTGTAGCACGTCGACAGAAATCTGTGGTTATTCGATGCCATTGATTAAAACAGTAAGGCTCAACGTGTCCGAAGCTATATAGTAATAAAACAGGAACGTAATTTGTAGTGCACGATATTTTGTTTAAGCCAATTTGACGTGATTCGTAAGAGCACACACATCTTCAACTTGCACGCATCACGTCAATAAATATACTTGTGAAGTGTTTTAGTCAGTTTTTCCCCATTAAGCTATTTTAACCCTTTTTTTAGTAAGAAAGCATTAGCGGAAGTTTACTTGGACAATATCCGTGACAACTCCCCGTATATTATTACTGATACGGCTAAATATAGGCATGCCTGCCAGTTAAAAAAAAAACTTGTGCATTTTAGACATAAGTTTCTGCTTTGGCAGCGATATACATTTTAATATTATCATGTTGTGAAATATGGCTGCATATCAGTCAAAATGGGGTGTCAGGGAAAACGTTCACCTCAGTATTATTTCTCGAGTTCACATGGCTTTCTGAAAACGAAGTAGGCGGTTTTCGTTTGCATCTTACATTAACTTTAATAGCTCTAAAATCTATCCTTACTTGACAATTTTGCAACAAAATTTACCCTCCGT